GACAAGATGTGTTTGACAAGGGTAGGTTTAAAATAGAAGGCAGCATAAATTGGGGGGGAACTCCTTCTTTATCCTGGGGGGGATTGCGCCTCTGGGTTTGGGGGAGATGGGCACCTCTGGTTCAGACACAGATTTGTGCTTTCGCTTTGTCATCAAATGTTTTCCTCGATTTATGTTAGTGACTGAGTCACCACTAATGCAATCCAAATCATTTTCAAGGTGAAGTTATTTTTTACAATCATTACAATCCAAACTATATAATATATAGTTTGGATTGTAATGATTGTAAAAATAACTTCACGTTATAAAATAAACATATTATGTTTTCTTCTATGATTGTCTGTGCTTAAGTGTTATTATAAATGCTAGTCAGTTTATAAGAATTACCTAGCTCAAATCATTATAAATGTTTCTCTAAAGTCTAGTGTTTCTGCCTAAAATAAACTGTTTAAAGTTCAAACAAGTGAAATAGTAATATTTATTATCAATAACTGTGATGGCAAAAGCATGAATCAGCAATAAAACATAGATTTTACACAACATACCTCTGCCCTAGCTTCAGCCGTATAGAACGACACGCTGGTGCTAGAGGATGATGTGATTGGCGTCGTGTTGACTTGGCGCTCAGAGGAGCTGCTAGAGGGGTATGGTGTTTCACTACTAGGAGAAACACTGGTGAGTGGTGAACTAACGCTGGTAGTTGGTGAACCAACGCTGGTGATTGGTGATGAACTGGTCTCAGCCGTATAAAAGCTTGTTTTCGAAGATTCTGGTTGTATTGTAATTACATTTACTTCTATGGGCGTTCTATCCTCGGGTTCAGAGGCAGGTTGTTCCAAGGATTCAGAAATTTTGTCCATCTTAGGTAAGCTGAAACACAAAATGCAATGGGTGCAGGAAATTTACTTTATTAATTTTCTTCAGATAAACTCACTGAACAAACAGATGATTGTAATTGGCTTAGTGCAAGATATTTTTTACTTATGTAATTTTATTTCCAACAGCTAAAAACACAAATACTGCTGGTATATATTTTAAAGATTTCTTTACTTTGTGTAACATAGGCCTACATATAACCAATATAAAAGCCTTTAACTTCTTCACTGTACAAGTTTGTGAGTTAAACGTTGAGTGTAAAAAGTTGCACTTGTGTGAGGCAAAGCCGAGCATGTGAATGTTATTTTCATGTATGGGGCAAAACTGAGGTTGGGGAAAATTGGAGAAAGTGCTGGGAAATCACTTTTGAAACAAATTACGAACGGAACTTTTATCACATTCGCTGTAACAGACTTCTGTGTAACTAAAACTATTATATTTGCTATTTACCATTATTCTAATATGAAAATAAAAGCAAATAGGTCGAAGCAAACAAACCTACATAACAACGTAAACAAAAAACTATAATTTCAAGTTCAACTTATGTTTATTGTTTAAACAAGCACTACAAGCTAAAATACAGCAAATAACTAGCTTTCATGTATATTTCTGTTTACACTGAATAAAGAGGTACATTGATGTATTGGCAATATATTAATGATAAATCTGCCTATCTTACTCATGAATGGGCAAGATGGAACTAAAGTCATGAACAAACTAAAATATTATTTAATTAATCCAGGTCTAGTTTGTAACACTCTAAAAATTAAATTAACCTATTATCCATTAAGTTACAAAGTAAGTAATTTCATAAGATAACTTATGTTAATGTTTCAATTACTGTATTGTAGTTGTAGTATATTAAATTGAACCGACACTACTTATGTTCATTACTTGTATGAAATAATAAGTACTTAAAATACCATTTTACCTGATTTGATAAGATAAATTAGCTTTACTTGTTATTTCAATAGCGTACAGTACATTTATTGTTTAGGCATGTCATTTCGGTTTACTAATGTAAGCCTACCTCCACGAAACTTACCGCATTATCTTCTTTATTAGATCGATTCCTCTAATTCTGTAACTAAATATAAAATATAAAGTTTAATAGAAACATTTAATCGGCAACAAAACACTGGTAGGTAGGTATGCGTTACTCGTATTGTGTCGCAGCACTTTGCAAGGCCTAAGCTACCGGTAGGCTACTCAATGGTGAAAAAACGCGCGTTAGAGCTGCCAACAAAACTTATAAATTTAAACTTATTAAATTATTTAAGTTATGTTTGTGATAAATTTATTACCCTATTTCAATCACAAAATACATGATTAGGAAGTTCAATAGCAACACGTCGCCAATAAAACCCTAGTGGATTAGACTTGTGCCGCTATGTGTCGCAAGCCCAGGCTACTAGGCTATACTAACTTAACTTAACTTAGCTCTAGATAAGCCACAAACTGTAATATTACCTCAGCATTATTTTAGTTAACTTATAAAACGATAAAATTTTGAGCCAAAATAAATTTTAATTAAGCTTACATAGGCCTATATAAATTGTTACTATCAGTAGGCCTACAAGACTAGGTAGTTGTAGCCTATGAGTTTACTCGGCTTTGTTAGTTCAAATGATAGGCTACTGAAACCAATGAAAACTACCCCAGCATTAGAGCTATATTGAGTATCTACAACTGCGTAAACTAGGCCTTAACTACATAAAATAACTTTTTACTATTTTTACAGCTACTTTTTTTAACTATTATAATTATATGAGCTCACCTTCTAATGTAGCTAAAACGATACAATCAACAATACACGAACTCGTAAGCGTCTATCGCTAATCAAACAGCACAACTTTCGGAATTGAGTATTCCTTTCCTTTTGTAATTCATTTCCGTCCGGTCTTATTGAAAACGGCCTTTGGATGGAAGTTAAAGACAGTACATGGCGTCACAAATATGGTAGAAATACAGTGTTAAATTAATTTCAATGAACGTTTGTATACAGAATGCGGAAATTTTAAGCATTGATAATGTTTTATATTTTTTATAAGTTGTATATGGGGATTGCTAAAATCTAAGTGTTTTTGTGCTTTAAATAGAAAAGGACGTCAATGATATTTGACTGAATGGATAGATGTTTATTCTATTAACAGAGTTTTTAATTAAAAGTTAAGCTCTTTTAAAAATAGATGTATAAATAAAATAAATAAATAAAAATGTCTTTATTAAGCGTTTCTCTGGTAAACCAGCTTTTCCGAACAACTTTCGTCACTACGCTAAATATCTTATTCAACAATCAATTATTTATACACATAGCAATTTGAAAAACAAATTTACATAACAATTCAACCTAACAATTTGGCCGTTATAAACCTAGACAATAATTACAATTAAAAAAAATATATCTTTGAGTTTTTCTTTAAATGTTTTGCTAGATGCAACAACCTTCAGGCCGTCAGGTAGACCATTGTACAACGAGGGACCAAAATATGAGAAGCTCTTCCTCCCAAGCTCTAGAGAAACTCTTGGGAGGTGAAGCTGGGAAACCTCATCGCGAAGAGAAAGCCTCTCGCGTAAATAGTCGGGCTCACAAAGAGACAACACTCGGTGGGTCATGCAGCACGTCAACAACCTGCACATGGCTTCAACGGGAAGCAGACTAGATACTTCTTGAAAGAGAGAGACATGATCAAATTTTATCAAACAGAAAATGCACCGGATTGTGGAGTTTTGCAGACGTTGCAACCGATACATGTCTTCCCGAGAAATGCTGTTGCCATATGCAGTGAAGCAGTAGTAAAATACTGAAAGTATTAGTGACTGCACGAGCTGAAGTTTTGCAGCCTCAGGCAACAAGCCTCTGAACCTATACAAACCTCTTAGTCTCCCTATAAGGCTCGCTGGGAAACAAAGGTGACATGATCTGAGAAATTCAGGCACCCGTCAATCACGACGCCAAAAGTCTTTGCCTTCTCACACACTGTATGACCTAATGCGATTATTTTGAGTGTTAACCATTAACGGCTAAAAAAAACTTTACTAATAAAATTTAATAATTGTAGTTTGCGGCAATTACATACTACAAGTAACACGCTGTGAATGTAAGCTACATAAGCTGAATAATATAACTTCTTGATCAGCATTGTACGTGTTATTAAATTTACAGAAAGTAAATAAAATAAACGTCTTATAACACTTAAAACATATATTTACGCTTACTGTTACTCACAAGACGGTAAATATATGTTTTAAGTGTTATAAGACGTTTCTTTTATTTACTTTCTGAATAATATGCATAATTTAGATTGTGCATTGTAAAGTGGCTATGTCGTTGGGAAATAAATAAATAAATGAATTAGAATAAGAATAGTTTATTTCCATTGACCATGTACAGAAGGAATAACTTATGCTATAATTATTTTAAAATTACTTTTATCATCTCATTCTCAACACTTTTATTGAGTATTCAATGGAATTTTCAAGCGACTAAAAAGAGTGTATATTTGGAAAATGGATGTCACTTGAAGGACGAATATATATATTTCAAGAATTGGAAAAATTACTTAATAAAGTTAAAATGCCATTATTTGTTTTGCTATTTATATGTAAATAGAATAAATACTATTGAGTCAGTATTGAGTATTATCATAGACTAACCAACACGTATTATTGTATGAATTGGTGTGCTTTCATTGCGTCCCTGTATAATCTATCAAGAGATTGGCAATATACTATCAGTTCTTTTCACAAATAACATAAGTTTAGTTGAGACAGTATAATAACCATTTACTAACCATTCAACAGTTTTTTTCAATTACTCTAAACGTAAACGTCCACTGTGTCCCTCTATGGACTACTCCATTTAACCCCTTGATTATTTCAGTCATCGACTACAAATGTCATAAAATGCATAACTACACCATCGTTAACTATCTTAAGCCTATTATTCATAACATATTATAAATATAGTTTACAAACAAATTCTCCCTCAATAGTCAACACAATTTTTCAAAGCTGCATGAAGGAATGCTTTAAAAGCGTACTGACTAGAGCAAATCATCGTCACTTCTTCTCTTTCTGTCTGTATGTTTGTTTGTGTTGTTCTGTCAGACTCCACCACCACTCTCGTCCTTGTCACTAAAATTAAAATTCAATTCACTCTCAGTCGTTATTAAAAGTAAAGTTAAAGTATATTTATTATTAAATAAATACATTTCAATACTGTACTACTAAAATATTATTGAAGACATACGTAAGCTAATGGAAAAGCAATATACGAATATTAGGCCTATGCCTACGTGACAGAGGTTAGTACACTTTTATAATTATTTAACTGGAGTAATAATTTGGAATCAACAGTTTTAACTAGGTGAAGTTGTTTGAAATGTATGTTTGAATGTACTGTTTATTCTAGTTATTTACAATTATTGTAAATAGGTTATTTCAATCAACTGAAATTAGGACCAAAATTATCCCAGGCCCAAAAGGCGATTTTGAGTCCAGCAACAGTTGCCCGACTAAAATGTTCACCATTGTTTTAAATTGGAGTGTGCACACCAAGGAAACAGTCTAGGGACAGTCGCGCAACTGTTGCAACCGATGATCCCGGACCCAATTTGCCAGAGACAGCTCTGCGACTCAATTGTCGCGGGACTGTCGCTCCAGTTGGTACAGTACCTTAACTGAGCTATGCTAATATCGATTGAAACATTCGAATTGAAAATATTGATTAATAATATATATTTTTAAATATATCTATTATAAAATGAAACTGTCAAACCTAACCTAACTAACCAAACAACTTGCTGATAATGAAAAAATTGCAAGAAGGTTTACTAATCGGATTGATAGTTTCAATTGATATTAGCATAGCCCAGTTAAGAAACTGTACCCGCTCCAGGTTTCGTATCCATTGAAACAAGTGTTAGACGCACACACATGCGATATATTGTCGCTGTGTCGCTCAGTCTCCCCCCAGGAATTCAGCTACTCTTGGCCAGAACTGTCTCTAGTGTTTGCTCTCTTTTTGTTGTGTGAAGTTTTTTGAAAGTTACTTAAATATGAGTGTCCGTGATGAGGATGTCGAACAATTAATTGATGAAGTTGAGAAGAGGCCGCCTTTATATTTATAGTCATTGAAAGACTATTCGGATTTTAATTTGAAGAAGATGTTGAGGGATGAAGTGTCCTTGGCAGTTACTAAAGATTGGAACAACCCAACACAAGAGGATAAAATCAAACAGCAGATTGTGAAGTACACAGCAAACTTTTACTATTGAGTCACTGAATTCAACTCCTTCATCGATAGGTCGAAAGAAAATGCGCCATTTACTAGCTTAAATTCGGAAAGTACATTCCACCATTCTTCGTGCTCGACAGTGCCTGTAGTTGAATACTTGTTTCACGACTAAAACTTGCCTGTGTGCGCACTCCAGCTCAGCTGTCGCTAGACTTCAGAGTCTCCGAGTGGGTTGCGCAACAGTCCCCCAATTAGTTGGGCAACTGTTGCTAAACTCAAAGTCGCCTGTGTGTGCCTGGACTTAGGCAATTTGTATATATTAATAATTAAATATAATAGCCCTATAGCATATGTAAACAAATTAGCCTTAATGCAAAGGTCTCTTTTAGCCAATGCTAACAGCTATCATCCTTGGCCTTGGCAATAAAAATATATAAGTTTACGTGCAAGGTGTAAGCTATTAGGGCAATCTCGTTCAGTAGAATTAGGGCCTATGAATTCAGTAGTCAAAGATGAGTAATAGATTTATGAGTCAAGTCTAGTTAACAAAAAACGTGGCAGCTTCGGGCTTTTTCGAGTCAAGTATTTTAATGGATGAAGTGACATGCGTGATTGCTTCAAGTATCAAAATTAAGTTTCCCAAACCGAAATAGGTACTTCATGGTGGCTATATTACAATTTAAAATACATTTCAAGCTAGTTTCTATTAGAATTAATTAATAGAGGCCTACTTCTAGGCCTCCACTTGCAGGCACTGCAGGAATAATAAGTTACTGCATTTATAAGTTACCTGGCGTGCCCTTCAGTTATGAGCTTTATTTTAAATATATTTTATCATGTAAGTTACCTTATTAAACCAACACCTTGAAATTTATATCTAATTTATTTACTGTACAATTTTCATTTATACCGCGATGCAATTTTCATTTTATGTTCTAAAACCTCTATGTTCTGTCATGCAGGTGTTATGAATTTAGTCTTCCCTAGTAAGTTAGAATGAGAGGTCACTTTTTGATTCTTACCATTTACCACGTAGTCCTCGCCACAATCTTCGGATCGGGGAGTCGTCAGATTTCTTCCCTCTTGGAGGGGTCTTGAAGAAGTTGCTCATTTGAGGTGTTGGTATGTGTGCTGTTCTATGTAATCTGTGGTTTTGTAATATGGCCTGTTTATTAAGTATTCTTTGAGTTTTTTTTGTGAAGCTGTTGATTGTGGTTGTTGATTTTATATGTTCTGGTAATAAATTATAATAATATGTACCTGAGTTGATGGGTGTATTGCTGGTTTTTTGTAGTCGGTGTTGCTTTGTGTTAATGTTGTGTTTGTTTCGGGTGTTGTAGGTGTGTATGTCTGATTGTGGGGTGAGGGATGATTTTTTGGCTAGGAGTATTGTGTCAAATATATACTGGGAGGTTATTGTTAGGATTTTGAGTTTGATGAAGAGGGGTTTGCAGTGTTCTAGGTAGTGGAGTCTCAGGATTGCCCGGATTGTACTCTTTTGTATGGTTAAGATCTTTTCAATGTTACTAGTGCTTGCTGATCCCCAGGCTGTGATACCATATTTTATGTGGGAATGAAAAAGCGAATGGTAGGCCATTATAGCTACCTACGTCTTCATTCGTGAGTGTGCAGATTCTTTTTATCACATGCCTTGCAGTTGACAGTTTTTTTTTTATAGGTATTTTATGTGATCTTCCCAGTTGAGGTGTTTATCGACAATTATGCCAAGGAATTTTGTGGAGTTGGTCGTTGGAATTTTCAGTTGTTCCAGTCCTCTTCTAATCTGTTGTTGTTGTTGGGTGTGAATTTTATGTGGGTCGTCTTGTTTTTATTTATACTCAGGTTTATTGTGTTGCAGTATGCGGTGGCCTTATTAAGAGTTTCATTGATGATATCGGTGTTATCTGTTGTTCGGTCAATGGGAAGTATGATTGTCGTGTCATCTGCGAAGAGTATGTATCTGAGTTGTTGTCCAATTTCTTGTCCAATTTCTTCCGGGAGGTTATTTATATATACTGTAAAAAATAGTGGGCCTAAAATTGATCCTTGAGGCGCCTCTGGTGGTTGTTCTTAATGAAGATTTTGTGTTGATTAAGTTGTTATTAATCTGTTGTTCCAATTCTACATATTGTTGTCTATTGCTGAGATAACTTTTTATCAAATCAAGCGCTTTGTCGTTGATATTGTATTGCTGAAGTTTTAGTAGCAATGTATTCCAGTTGATTGTGTCAAATGCTTTTTGTAAGTCTAAAAAGATGCCTGATGCACACTCTTTTCCCTCCCAGATGTTGGTTATATCCTCGCAGAGTTGTGATATAGCTGTTGTTGTGGTACGCCCCTTTCTGAATCCGTGTTGAAATAGTGTTAGTATATTGTTTTTTTCAAAATGTTCAATGAGTTGATTGTAGATTGCACGTTCATGTAGCTTGGAGATGGTGGGGAGATTGGAGATGGGTCTGTAGTTAGATGGATCTTGTTTGCTGCCTTTTTTGTGTTTAGGGAAGATTTTGGCTATTTTTAGTTTACTGGGTATTATTGATTTTTGCAATGATGAGTTTATGATGTGGTGAATGGGTTCTATTAGTTCTTCTTGGCAGTAAGTAACCATTTTTCCTGTAATTTCATCAAATCCCGATGGGTTTTTTGGGTTTAGGCGTTTAAACAAATCTTCGAGTTCTCGCCTGGTTATGGGCTCAAATGCTGTCAAGGTTGGAATATGGTGTTTCTTGCAGTTGTTTTCCTCCATAAGTTCTATTACGGGTAGGTCTGAGTGTAGGAATATTTTGTTGAATATGTTGCTGATATGATATGTGTTAGTTATTGATTTTTCGTTATGTAAGAGGCTTATGTTATCTAATTGCTATGTGCGTTTCTCTCATCATTGATTACCTTCCAGATTTCTTTATTTTTGTCGCTGGCTTCCTTTATTTTGTCTGCTGTGTGTTTTGAGCGTTTCGTTTGTATGTCCCTGTCATAAGTTTGTTTTATTTCCAAGTAAGTTTTTTTATCTTCAACTTTTCCTGTTAGGTTGTATTTCTGTTGCGCCTCTTGAAGATTTGCTCTTAGGCTTGGTGTTTCATCGTCCCAGAATATCCTTTTACTTGAGATTTTGTGTCGTTTTTGAACTTTTGGCATTGTTTCATTCATTTTTGAAGTTATGATGTCAATAAAATTTGCATATTTCGCTTCTACTGAGGTTGGTTTATATACATTGGTCCAATCAGTTGTTTTTAGTTGCATTTTGAGATGATCAAGGTTTTCCTTTGAGAAGTTTCTTGCATTTTTGTAGATAAATTTTTGGTGGATAGGTTTATTGTTGATTGTACATAAGAGATAGTGGTGGTCGGAGATGGTATTTTCAAGTGCTTGTACTTCTAGATAATTTATTTTTATATTAGTCTAGCATCCATCTATGCTTGTGACTGTGGTGGGGGTTTTGCGAGTAACCGGTATTTGTCTGATATGGCATCCATGTTGGGTTAGTAGGTTCTCTAGGTATATTATGCTTCGGTCTTCTGGTTTTAGGATGTTGAAATTTGTATCGCCAAGGATAATTATTTTATTTGATGCTGTGTTTTGACTTTTGAGTAGGCTAGATGGCCTAATTTTTCAAGGAATGTGTCTTCTGTATTGGGGCTTGGTGATCTGTAGGTTCCAATTAGTATTATATTTTGTTTTTTAATTTTTATTTTAACTGCAATTGTTTCAAAATCAAGTTCTGTAGGATGATATGGTTCATGTAGTGTTAGTTCTTCTATTACAGTTTTTAGGCTCGCTTTCTTGTATAGAGCTATACCTCCCCACATATGTGCCGTTCTACAGAAGTTAGTTTGTAGTGTACCTATATCCTTGAATGTTGGTGTTTAATAGGTCTTCATGTTTAAGGCCATGCTCTGAGAGTATTAGTAAGTCGGGGTTATGTTTATCTATTTCAACGTGAAGTCCGTCTATCTTGTTCTGTAGTCCTCGTTGGATGTTTAAGTGGAAAATTTGGAGTGATTTATTTGTGTGATTTATTTGCTGTATGTTTATCTTTGCTGTTAGGCCTATTTGTTTTGTTGGAGCTACCTTGTTGTTTCTGTTCTGGTTGTTTGGTTATGCTATTTGCGGTTGCGAGGCTAGGTTGCAGTTTGGGTTGTTCATGTTCTCTTCGCTAGGTTTGGGTGGATTGTCGATGATTTGGATTTTTAACGCAGTAGCGATTTGTGAGGCGAGTATTTTTGTTCCTTCTTGGCTGAGATGTACCCCATCCCAACATAAATGGTTATGAATTAGTATTTTAGTGTTATCTATGTATTTTATCATGAGCTGAGTGCACATAAATTCAAGTGCTTTGTTGGTTTCGTCAATGAAGCGCCTACTACAGTCTTCCCTGAATGATATTGAAGTCACATGCCAATTTGTGCCTGGAAATATTTTTTTGTTCGCCTCAATAGTCAGCCATAGAGGTCTCATGACATGGTTGGGTGTTTTGGACGTTGAGACATTATTTGAGCCTATATTAAGAATGACGGGTAATGTGAGTTGGTTTGCAAGGAATTTGCTTACATCTTGTATCCTGCCATCTGGCATTGTTTTTACAAGTGTCTGAGGTTGTTCTGGGCGGTTTAGATGTCTGTCAATATTTTTTATTAGAGAATCTCCTATAAGTAGGGGAAGGCTTGGTCCTGTATTGTTCTGTGTTAAGCGAGGTTTTGTAGGCTCTCCACTCGTGGCACTGACATCAGCTTTGTGGGTGGATGGTCCGTTATTTGTGAGATATTTGTTGGGACTTTGTTTGTCTGTGTGGCTATTGTTTCGATTTTTTTCAGAATGTCCAGTTGTTGTGTTGCCTTTGTGTTCAATATCTACTGAAGCGTCCAGCCTATTGTTGTCCGTGTTCTTTTGACTGAATTCACATACAATAGTTTTGAGTTTGAATATGAGTTCCATATTTTTACTACTATTTCTGAAAGTCTGTTGTTTTCCTGTTTCTGTATATTAACTTCTTCTTTTAGGTCTTTTATATAATTTAGTAGTATCTTAATTATCTGTTTCTTGTATTATTAAAGCGTTGTACTGGTCCTCACTTACATGAATGCAGTGTATGTGGTACCATGTATCGTCATTACAGTCAGATGCTAGTGCTTTGTCGTCATTATCTATTTTTACATTGTGCAAATTCCACAGTAGAATGAGTCTATTTCTAATTGTTCAGGTTTAGTTTCATCTTGAGTATTGCCTTCCTCATGTTGGTCTTTGTCATTTTTCTCTAATCTATTTTTTTGTTCTCACTTGTTTTGTCATTCTGCTTATTAAGCCTTTTTTTGTATTCCTCTTCTTCTCTATCAAAACACAGGGCTGCTTTATTAGGGAGATTTAAGTTTGTTAAGGGTGCAACGAAGGGGAAAAGACGGGGACGCAATTATATCTTTGGCCCATAGTGTGTCACATGCAAACCACTGACCTTTTGAAACTCTGTTAAATTAGCTTAACACCTTTTGAGTCCTGGGAAATGCAAGTTAATAAAAGTTATTTCAAAATTATGCCTAATCATTGATGTTTTTGAGCATGGTTTCGTTCATCCTATAAAAAATATATAGAACTGAAAGGGTTTGAGTTTGTAACCAATAATTATACGCTTCTCAGTTGTTATTTCCGGTACCTTGGCTCCAATGCTGTAGGGCATAGGCCCTTGTCGTGTACGGTAATTGATTAAGCAGCCCTTAGCCCTATGTGGATCTTGATGATAGCTATTTATTGTGTTGAAAACGTTGCTAATTTAAAATTTTTATAAATATTTTGGCCTATTTTACTTGCTCATTGAACTCAAATATTTGTACTAAAACAACTAGTGTTCTGACGTCTGTCTTAGTCTCACAAAATCATTGTGGACTCAATTTCCTGAAGTTTTTCTTGCAGTGCTATTTCTGTTGTGAAGTACGACTCATCTTTAAAGCCATTTAAAAATAACGGTAACCTACTGTCGGCTTAATTTTTTAGAACCAAGACATGCTTATTAAAACAAGCCTATCTCATGAGAAACCAGATTACAAGGCCCTAATTGCTGATCACCTTTACCTCCTTCCCCACTAAAAACCGCTTTGATTGGATAAGTTAAGCTGCGTCCATATTATTAAACTGTTCACGGGCCACCTCCTATAGCATAATGGCATTTAGTTTTTTTTAATCTTACTATACTATTGTTAATATTACAGTGGAACCTCCTTTATTCCACTCCTTTATTATCACTTTTGATAAGTTATGTGATCAAGTATTTGCCCATCCTGCCAATTAGCACATCAGCATTTTCAGTTTTTTCTCTGTTACAATAAGCAGAAATGTGCAGTTTTCATCTTTGCAGTTAACTATTCAACCCTTTCTGACCATCGTTTGGTCCTGTAGTTGATAGACGGTTGAAATGTGTAATACCACTTCCATTTTCTGATCTTACAAATGCCACATTTAGCCTCTAAATTCCCAAGTCCCTTCTTAGTAGGGAAAAGTTGGGTTCTTTAAAAACATAAAAGCCGGTTTTCATAGATTCTAAATTCGGCTGTGTTTGCTGGCACCTACTGAACACTAAGGGTCAAGCACAGACATTTTCCTAGCGGAGTGCAAAGAAAACGCTCAGTGCATAAAAGACTCGCACTACATTCTAGATCCTGTTGGCTGCCGAACTTAGTACCTAGTAAAACTGCATTAACTTTTCCTTCTTCATCAATTCATAGATTTTTTGGAATTCTTTTTAGGTTCATAAGAAAATTTCATTTAATCTGTTTTGTATTTTGAACTAAATTACGGTACGTAACCTACCTATGACAGTTAAGGAGGGCTAATTAGGCGCAAACCAATGATCTGCAGTCCTGGGCTGTGCAAAAAACAAATAATCTCATAAGGTTGACACATTTTCTGTTTATTAATTAATTAAAGTCTGCTCTATGTAATATTGTGTTACATTCTACGTTAGGCTTATATTGTATGTACTTGGTTGGATGCTACATAAGACATATATTTGTCACTTTTACATTATACAAATTATTAAATATACAAAAGTTACAGACCATGGCAAGAGATTAAAATTTGAGGGTAATAAATTAAAATTCACGCATCTTATATCTAAATCACAATTAACATCCTATTTCGAATAGTTTTCATTAACTTATCAGACATGAAACAAAAATCATCGATAGGATAGAGTGGGTTGTTTACTAAAAATAAAAGCAGTCTTTTTTTTAAATTCTTAAAATCCAAATCTGTCACAGCCAATGACAATTTGTTGAAGAGCCTGATACCCATAACAACATGTCCTGATCTCGTTTTTTCCAACCGGACCTGAGGTAGATAATTTTTTTTGCAGTTCCTAGTACTAATGCCATGGACTTCATTTCTCATTTTATATCTAAAGCTATTCTTAAAAGTAAACAATAATAATTGATAAATATATAAGTTAATGATGGTCAATATTTTTAAATCAATAAAAAGGGGTTTACAGTGTGCTTCAGTGTGAATTTTAGGAGAACTACCACAGTAAAGTAAACCATATGAAGCAATTGACTGAAATAACACAAAATATGCAGATTTTACATAATTAAAAGGAACATAGTGCACTAATCTAGATTCCCTAGTACATCTGCCTAAGATTCTTTAACTAACCGTGCACATACCAGTACTGTTAACAACTTTTTTTGTTTCAGTTAAAAAAATGCATTGATTTGAACCCAGAAAAGATGACAGAAGCTGTATGGTCTCAATATAATGATTTACAGAAAATAGATCTATCTCATAAAGCTATAAGTGTCTTGACTCCTGGAATTTCAGAATGTGAGGGTGTTGAAACTCTGTATGTAAGTATTAGGTTAGGTTAGGTTCCTTAAAATGAGTGAATTAATTTTTAACTATGATTGACTCTCTCCCTTGACCACTAATCATGAATACTAGACAAAGAAGCCTACTATTAATAATAGGCCTATGTAGAGCAACAATCATTTAACAGGCGTAAGCACAGAAAACGTACTACTATAACCCAGAATGCCAACCGCATAGTAAAAAGCATTAAGCGGTTTGAGAGAGCTTTGCCTGTCAATCCGTAGGCAGCGCCACCAGCGTTGCCATGACAGGCAAAGCTCTCTCAAACCGCTTAATGCTTTTTACTATGCGGTTGGCATTCTGGGTTATAGTAGTACGTTTTCTGTGGCGTAAGTCAAATCTAATCAGACATTTTTATCATTAGGCCTACTATTTTTATAGAATATACTATAAACCCAAGTTTTTAGGCTACCTTACTCTAGCTAAACAAAAAATTAACTACAGTAGAACCCTTCATATCCGGCCAATGGAGCCGAGTCAAATTTAATCTATACCTAATAATAATGTGTAATCATACAAAAATTTAGTCAAAAGCAGTGTCTAAGTAACATACATACACAATACATGATGTCTCAGTCCGTAGTCCTTTGCTGTAAGGAATTGGACAGGTCAGGGTTATTACAAAGAATAACCAAACTTTAACTAGTTTTTGTCACCGTTAAGGTAACTGTCTGTCATGGAAATTTGAACTCCACTAGATATAGCCTATTTAATTCTAATTTGAATTTTTTAAAGCTCTGAATTTCCAGTATTTTTTCCAGTAACTTAAGGCATGGTAAAATTTTTATTCCATTGTAATCTGGTTTCAGGTTTCATTGGTTGTAACCTGAGTCCCTTTTGGGATTGTTATTTAGAAGGTTTCTAAAACCAACAGAAACTTTATTTAGAAGTTAAAAAGTGGTTCAGTAACAATATTAAAATGACTCACAATAAGTTGGCCTTGAAGATCATCAGGTCTTAAAATAGTATCTACGTTATAGTTGTGGAAAAAAACATTTTGATATTGGCTTCCTAGTGGCCAAATAAAACCAGTAAAACCAAGGCCGGATATTAGGGTTCTATTCTACTGAAAAAACAAATACGAAAACCCCTAGAACAATGGACGCAGAAGTTTAGGACACCATTGAAAGATTTCAATGTTTGTAGCCTTTGGTACGGTTGGTGTTTTTGATTTTATTTTTAAATACCGTACTACAGTTTTGTATTTTAACATTGTGTATGCAACAATGCCCATCCTCAGTAGTAACAAACATGTCTTTATTAAACCTCAACTGTCAACATAGACTTCCTATTAAATATTAACTGCTTTCATAGGCCTCATGGTGTCAAATCTTTTACTTCACCATGCTGTACAGGTATTGAAATTCTTCTTGTAATATAGTTCTGACTTAGCAGCCGAGAACACTACAACTGAGATCTTGTTGTTGGTTCAAACCATTATCTCATTCATTGCAAACTAAAAAAATAATAACTTTTAAGATTGAAAAGATTATAAAAACCGTCCATTTAACAATTAGAGCTATTTTAGTTGGAAATGTTATAGGCCTACCTAAAGTAGCAAGAACACATGTTGCAGTTCCTGAAATTTACTTAATTACCACACATCAGAAAGTGAAGCTATTTGGTGTTATTTTAGCGAATTTCCCATATAGGGAATAAGCTATTACCGTAGGTCTCATGGTAAGACCTGGACCTGGGACCGATTTACTTTTGCGTTTTGAGGTCCCCAGAGGCCAAAAACACCATCCGTTCAAATTCATTTATATATATTTATATATGTCCGTTAGCACAATAACTCAAACAAAAATGATCCTATTTTAATGAACTTTGTTATAAACGTGTAAACCTACATTTATTCTAACGAGTTCGCGAACCAGCAAGATCGGACCATGGGAACGGGGGTTTTATGGTGTAAAAATGGGATTTTCCCATTTTTGACCCTACAAACATAAAATTTAGGAATTTCTTTCCCAACCATTTTGAAGAGCTTAAAAAAGAAATAATTAGTATATTGAGGCATTGTTGTATGCCTAGTGGTTTGGGAGAAAATTAAAAAACGTAAATTTAAAATTCCCATGTTATTCTAATGAAGAAAATGAAAACTGTTGGTAGGAAATACTTGTTTATAGATATATGTTGATAAAATTTGGCAAATTTATTTATTTCATCCTATTCTATTGACGTTTAAAAAACACTATTTACCTTCCCCGTAGTAGCAAACCTAAGCACTTGTTAAATCGAATGTTATTTGAATTGGGAATAAATATGTCTTATTTATGGAAATATTTTAGTAAAAATGTAATCAGACAAGTTGAAATTCGCTTAGTCTGCAGGTTTGTTGCGGCGGGGGTATTTCAGTTTTGAATACAGCTTTTATGTATCTTGCCTAAAAACTAAAGCTTTAAAATTGAAACCAAATGCTAACTAGTAAAATTTAACTTTTGTGTCGTTGATTATTAACAATTGATATTTTTCCAGTTACAGAGTAATTCACTCACCGATCTGCCAGCCGATGTGGGTGACCTGAGGTGTCTGAAAGTTCTGAACCTGAACAATAATTCATTAACTTCCATACCTTCATGTATTTTCAAACTGCATATGCTTACGGAATTAACAGCAAAAAACAATTGTATCACAAGTGTTAACAAAGATGTTGGAAATCTGTGTGATCTAAACATTTTGGTCAGTTGTTTGCTTTAGCTATCTAACTAACTTAAATATTCTAATATGTTGCTTAGCCTAAACTTAGATAACCTTAGATTCTCGCTTATGTCACTTACAAAGTCTTTTGTGTTTAAGACTTTAAAAATTGCTTTAAGATTAAAATAAATAATGGCTTTTTCAGCAGGACATATAAATACTGTATATACATTTGTGAGTTACAGCATACAAAAACAGCAACATTTATTTAAGAAAATATATTTTATTAGCAAAGAAATTGTATAAAAGTGAATTTAAGCACATAGGTTAAAAGCTAATTCTTACCTTTACCTGTATTATAATCAGGGCTGTACCCAGCTTTGGCAGGCCCTAGTACAAATATTATACTGCCCCCCCCCCCCCCTTGAAGTATATGTTTGGCGGGGGCCGGTAAAATTGTCTGAAAAAACTGGTTTGAGTACGGTCCTGTTTATATTTCCTAGCACTTTATAGAGAAAAGGCTGGAAATTATTATGACATGGCATGTTTTGGCTGAGTGAAAAATTAATTCATTGTATATTGTATTTCTATAGTCTAATATAATAAAAATAGCTGTAGCTTAAATTATAGTAGTCTACACCAGAGATTCACTAAATCCGAACTCCCGACCAAACCACCTACTGCAGAGAGAGTGTTACTGTATTTAAATTGAATATATACCTACGGTATGTGATCTAAAATAGTAACCTGGGTGTCCATCCGACCAAGAAACCGACAAACCTGCACATCTGGCTAATCTGAGCGATTAAGTATTCCGATTGATTAGGTACGGTAGAACAGGGTACAGTTCCAATTAGTGAAACTTTTGTGTATGATTTTGTTTTTGCTTACAACATTTTAATTTGGACAAACCTTAAATAATCCATAAATACTGAGGTTTTGCTGTGTTTAAAACCACAATACAAAATATCGGTGTAGGCCTACTCAGTTTTATCACGCATCATAAAATTGCCTACCTAAAATATTTCTAGCTGGGAAGCATTTTTGAGCTTGAAAAATTCTAAATTCATAAAATGATATCAAATATAACTATGCTGCGTAGTAGTAGAATAAAATGTTCTGACTTGAACTATTGTTAGCAATAAACATTTTTGACACAAATCTCAAGCGGCCCAAACACAGTCAGTTTAACTACATAGTTTATTGCCTGTAATGTCTGAACAATAAATCCACATTCCTGCAAATTTTCAAGCAGTGGCTACACTTCTCAGATTCGGTCTGGTCCGGTCCTTCCAAATGCGGAACAATGTATTTAAATGGAGGTGGCTACATTTCTCCGGTCCACTCTGGTTCAGCACCGAACAATACTCCAACATCCGAACAATGGGAGCATTCATCTGCATTTGGTGGAGGCAGACCGGAGCGTATGTGACAAGTGTAGCTCCATACTTCTGGAACTCGGGTGAGGATCGGGGATGTTCTGTGAGCGCTCTGACCATTTCTGAAGTCACGTGATTACTACCTCGTGTAGGAGTGGAATCATAGAACGTGTGTGTACTTTCGAACACACGAAAGTTAGTCTGACTGGACCGGACCAAAACTAATCGAATCAGACAAATCTTCAGGCGGGCTACAGACCTGTGCAAATGCAAAAAAAGAATACCTTTCTGGCCTATATTGAAGGATATAGAAATCTCCTGATATTGGTATATTCAACTGCTATCAATTCAATTATTTAAGACAGCTATACACACTATTGGTGCATATTTGAATCTGAATATGAGAGCACAGATTATCTGTGTAGTAGTCTGTCACTAACTAAGACTAGCTGTTTCATAGTTAGAGCGGTTTCATTTATTAAAATCCCAATGGTTAAGGTCAGGGGAGCAAGCTGGTCAAGCCGAATCACCAATGGATTTTATCTAAGTGATAAAGCCGCAACCCCTAGGTCTAGCCTGAAGTAATGTGAAAAACTATCCCAGGCTCGTGCCTAGCGTCTTAGGGCAAAAAACGGTCAGCTGGGCACAGTTTCGAACCATCTAAAAGCTAATAGCATTTTTCAGGGTTGAGCCAGTGACCTTTTGATCCCTAGAGTAGCACTATAACCACTTCTACATAATATTATGCAATTTGTGATAGTGGAGTTAAAAAAGTAAACGACCTTCATCCTGCTAACCGTTGAATGAGCTAAAGACAAACTATTTTACTATGTATCACATTGTTGACTCCTGTTTTCGATCTATTTTCACACGGAGAAAAACTTAAATAGCCCGTTTACAAATCAGATAACTAATCAGGGCTATACATAGTTTTTCAAATAGCTTAACTAACCAGTTAAATTAATAGTGTGCCTTAGAAACAATCATGAACATTTACTTTGTAAGTGCTGTCATATCAATAACTTGTATGTATTATTTTTCAGGACATCTCCCATAACGAGTTAATAACACTTACATCTGGTGTGGGATTTTTAAACCGCCTTAAGCATGTAAACCTATCTAACAATAAGCTCAAAAGTATCCCTCATGAGTTGACAGCTATTTGTGGTATGGTTTATTTTCTCTTCTGTATTCTATTCTAAACAGTATACAGGGTGATTTTAAAGTCCCTTCCCCCCTACTTTTTTTTAACAGTATAAGTAAAAATGTTTGAACCTCGCACATCTTTGTTAGACCTAAACATCTTGTTTTTCATGTTTTCATTGACTCAAAACCTCTAAAGAAAGACGGTACACAATGAGTAAACCGAGATTCTTAAATGTAAGCATAGATTGACATGTACATCAAATTAAAGGTCTCTGTTAGCAGAATACAATGCTGCAAACCAGACCTCAAAATGGACCGTTCAAAGATTTCTTGAATCTGCCATTTTGAATCTTTAAACGGCTGCCATTTTTTACTCAGTTGTTCTTTTGAGCTCAAATTTGCGGCATTACATTCTACTAATAAAAACCTTTAATTTGATGTGCATGTCAATCTATGCTTTTATTTATGATTTTCTAGCAGGTGCCCGCCGATGGAGGTAGCGTATTACAGCACAGATTAAAAATGGCAAATTCAATTAATCTTTAAAAAGCTGTCATTTTTGACCTGATTGTCCATTTGAGGTCCAGTTTGCGGCATTGTTTTTAGTTCAACAAGACCTTTAATTTGATGTACCTATGCTTACATTTAAGAATCTCGGCTTACTCCTCGTGGACCGTACCCCATTGGAGGTGGAGAGTCAAATAACCCATGAAAAACAAGATATTTATGTCTAACAAAGATATGCTGAGTTTAAAACTTCTACCTTATACTGTTAAAAAAAGGTAGTGGGAAGGGACTTTAAACTCACCCTGTATGATAGGTTACTTTTGTTGTGCTTCGAGTAGACTATACTATATATTAAGTATTTCCATTGTTTGTTCTTTCAGTTGACTCTTGCTAATTCATCACTTGGTAGTCTGTTACAACTTACCCTGTAATTAATGAGTCATGGGCGATGTGTGAACAATTCTGTAATTTTATTCATTTTGTGACGGGAGGCTTGCATCATTTCAATGGTGATGTCCAATCCGATTGGATTATTTTTACAGTACATAAACTTAAATGAAACAAGGACAGTTGGTCTTATGATCTTTGTAATGATATAAGCCATCCTGAGTTTTGTTCTTACTTGATTTGTATGGTTGTAAAATGAAGATATCCGTTGGAATAAATAAATGGGGAATGATCTTGAGGGAGAAGGGAGCACAGAATTGAGCGCAATAAACTTGTCTTACTAATTAATTTTAATGCCCAACAGTCGAGGAACTTTTCTCAGCTTATAGGTTAAATTTAGTATTTTTTCTGTAATCTGGCGTTTTTGTTACTCAACAAATTCCAAGTTCTATAAGTGTTGAAATATCGAGAGGCAACTGTATTTTGTAACAGTGTATTTTCAGATGTGCAAAACAGGTCAATTAGATTCAATCAGGCCACACTCACACAAACTCGTTCAATTATGTTTGCTCCTATTTCTGTCTCATGAGTCCATATCCATTTTACTAATCACTAGGATGGCCTAACCTTAAATATTATTGTCTATATGGTCCTTGGGCCTGTGCGTGAAATGTATCAAGTAATGCAATTAGTGAGCCACTACAGATCTAGAATGAACTGTATGGGCCGCAAATCCACGACATTTCTCTTTTGGATTCATAGTTAGTCTAATTTGTACTACCTATAGGCCACCAACTCACCAAAATAGTCCAGTATTAATTCACTGGATTTTTCTGAAAGTTAAAACTCAGACTTAACTTTACTTGGAGCTTTATATTAATCACATTTTAACAGCTTTAGCTTTATAGAGTAACTTGACAGATAATCCACTCAATTAAATTAAAATGCCTGGTACAACATTAACAAGTAAATTAAATTCAATTTAGTCTTTAGCCGTCCAAAATCACAGTTTAGGTTTAGTTAAATCAATTTTATCAGCACTGAAATGAAATGAATATGGAGTTATTGTTATATGGATTCAAAAACTTTAAGGCAAAACATCAGCTGTTACATAAACAACTTGTTTGCTCTGTTCTGGGAGTACACAAAAAATTAAGCTATCCGTATGATTATTACAGTCTGTATGATAAAACCTGTCTCCTGGCCCTATGTCTACCTGGGATTTACCTTTGGCCTTAAATCATTAGAAAGTTCCAATGTGGACCTCTGGTCTCGAGACATGTTTCACCATACAGAGTACACCAGTTTTACCTAAATTATCATTATCAAAAGGCTGGGAACACTCCAACTTTTGGTCAAGTACGCCATTCTCATGATAGGGTTTTATATGTGACACAATGGAATTTTTACATGACCATGACACAGATCGGATTTTCTTCTTGTGTGTCAGTTGACCTTATAATATAAACTGTTTGGGATATTACATTATTTCCCATTTTATCAGCAACCTGGTCACTTTTAATTACAAATTAAAATCCTTTATATACCGTACTTTGACTGTCGAAAAGATATAATTCTGCACTCTTAGTGTCACTTATCACTTTTCCTGTTTCACTATAGTATATTTTTACTATTTATCTAATTTCAACAATGTTTATACAAGTTCTTAATACAAGTTCAACAAACCTCAAATGCAAAAAAGGCAAAAACTTTTTCAGTATTTTTATAGATGTAGAGGCTGTGTCTTATAAAATGTTCTATACATAATAACAGTTTGCTGCTATGTTTCAGGGCTCGTGGAGATCGATGTTTCTTGCAACAAGATTAGAAAACTACCTTGTGTCAGAAATTTGTTACATCTAAAAGTATTTAGAGCCAAAAATAATTTATTAAAAAAGTTACCAGACTTTAGCCAATGCAGGGAGTTGGTTACCATTGACTTCAGTCAAAATATTCTCGAGGTTAGTTCTATCTATGAACAGAAGAATATCCTAGATAATACTAGAAACAGCTCAAATCATGCCATATCTGAAGATCTGCCTACAGAAAATACACCACCTGCAAAACTGTACATACCTTACATTTTTGGCAATTTTGAAAATAGAGTATGTTTTCTAGGAAAAATTTTGAACTCCAGTGTAAACTATTAAATATACCTAATAATTAGTTTAACTGCCAATCAAAGTATATATCCGACCATGACGAAACCGGGCTATGGTCGGAATGGCCAAAAGGTCAAATTTTAGGAGGAGCATAACCTGCAGTCTCTGAAACTTCAGTAATCGTCTCCCTAAACGGCGGAAACACCCGTGAGCATCACTTGCAGTCCCCGCGACTTCTGTAATCGTCTCCCGCGACTTCGGTAATCGTCTCCCGAGACTTCGGTAATTGTCTCCAGCAACGCTTGCAACACCTGTGAGCGTGACTTGCTGTCTTCGCGACTTCAGGAATCGTCTACCCATGACTGCGACATCACCCGTTATTGGCGACAGTGGTGATCGTCTCCTGCGATTACGGCAACATTGATTGATTGATTGATTCTGTAGGGGCGGACCTTGTCCTATTGCACGTCAGCCACTGTTGAACTTTTTGCGCTCCCCACATAGTACTTCAGAGTCCGTCAAACCTGAGTTGCTTAATGAACTTCAGCATCCTGTCTATGAGCTCCTCCTGAGGAAGGTGTCTGCCCCTTGTCATTGCACCAAGAGTACTGTCCCTTACCTCGTTCAGAGCTGTGCAGTCGTAGAGTAGGTGATCAGCAGTCTCCTCTGATTGCCCTCATTTCCTACACGCAGTGTCTCCATTGTGGATCCTCAAGCGATGCAGGTGCAATTTCAGGAAGCCATGGCCAGTGACCATTCCTGTGATCTGTCTGAGTTGCCTCCTGTCTAAACGTAGAGCATTGGAGGCGACCATCTGGGGAGAAGAGGGTGAGCTTACTTACCCTGTGGTGCTGAAGCCTAGCCCATCTTTTCCTGTGTTCCTCCTGAGCCCATGACATGACTGAGTGACATGCATGCCCACGAGAGATTCCACAGAAAGGCTGTGGTCCCACGAAGTCTGAGGCTGACGCCACATTAGGTAGCGACATTAGCTAGCCTGTCAGCCACCTCGTTCCCTTCTATCCCTGAGTGCCCAGAAACCCAACAGAGTGTTACCTTGTTGCGCCTGCCCAGGTCGCATACTGCAGAGAGGCAGTCACAGACCATCTTGGAATTGAATTCGTAGGAGTCAAGCGCTTTGAGCGCAGCCTGGCCGTGTGTAAAAATGGAAATGTTGATGTCCCTGAAGCCTAGTCTCAGGTTTTCCCTAGCACATTCCATCATCGCAGTCATTTCGACCTGGAACACAGTTGGGTGAGTGCCCATAGGAAGACAAATGTCCACCGCGTTCCGCATTCCATGAATTCCAGCCCCTGTCCCACTTCTTACCTTTGAACCATCAGTATACCATTCAAGGTCGCCTTGTGGAAGACCTGACATCCACTCATCCCTGGATGGAAGAAGGACGGTGAATGGTCTGGCGAAGAAGAATTGAGTCGGCATGTGGTCCGAGGGCATGTCCATTACCTCCCCTCTCGACGGCGGCAACACCCGTGAGCGTCACTTGCACTCTCCGTGACTTCTGTAATCGTCTGCCGCGACTTCGGTAATTGTCTCCCACGACTTTGGTAATTGTCTCCCGCAACACTTGCTACACCCGTGAGCATAACTTGCTGTTTTTGAACTTTAGGAATTGTCTACCCGTGACTGCGGCATCACCCGTTATTGGCGACAGTGGTGATTGTCTGCTGTGATTACGGCAACATCCGCGATGGGCCTTTTGGTTTGCCAACCGCGCACAGCGTTATCGCCCCAGACTAGTAGACGGTTGGATATCCCGAGGTGTCGGTTATTCCGAGGTTAGATATGAGGGGTTCTTCTGTATATATTATACTTTTAAGATGGGAAAGATTTTTGTTTTATTTTATAGACTTGTATTATTTGATTTATTTAAATATGATAGCCTTAAGCCCATTATACGAGAGTTGTCCATGGATTAAGGTCTCGAACAAGCTCCCATCAAGACAAAGCAAGCTAGTCGATATATTACACCAAGGATATGCACTTTACTTTCTTCAGCACTATTTTAGTCAGTTCTCACCTCTATGTGACACTTATTGTAGCCGATAAATCTATGACCCCACCATGTACCAGGTTTTGTTATGTGATTATGATTCTGTAGGGGAAAAAACCCCCTATTGAAACCAATTGCTAGTTGATAGATATGTGTACAGAGAAAAATGTTTGGAAAAGCGTAATTTGGTGTTCTGGTCATCTGCATATTAATTTTTTACGTCTATTTACTTTTTATTCAAATGCGTCAACCAGCAATAGGTTTCAGTTGGGTATAATACCTCTAAGAATGGTGTTAAGGAGTTAACAGAGGCGAGGGACAACTAACTGTATACTCAATAATTGCTATCCACAGAATACATATTGAGTATCTTCTTATAATACAATTTATTAGTAAACTACCAACGTTGGTAGTACACATTTGTGGCTAAAGCAATACAAACAGAAATTGGACTGTTTAAAGCAAGCATGTTAACTAGGTTTGCTGCGGTGGGGGTATTAAGTAAAAGTATGATTTACTAAATTAGCATGGGTTTACTCCATGCATGGAATTCTGCAAAATAGCTCTTAACATCTTTATACTGTATAACAATTGACATCTTTATACCCCTCAATGATCTAAGATTATATATAATGGTTTTTAATCAGAACCTGGAAGCATTAGAACAATGAAAAACATCTGAAGATTTGTAATATGTTACAGGACATTGATGATGCAAGTTTGAACTGTCAACCATTTTTAAAAGAAGTTCATCTCCAAAGCAACAAACTGAAATGGCTTCCAGAAGATTTTTGTAATCTCTCATCCCTTCAAGTCTTGGACTTAAGTTCCAACAAACTGAACACGTAAGATTTGATTTAAAACTATTTGAGATGTTCACTGTGTTTTAACATATCCCTTTAATATAGCTGTGAGGTGTTTAGTTCGGTTAGGGTCACTTAGCCTAAACTTACCTCCGTTCGCTCGGACATGGTTCGCTTGCTCATGGTTCGCTTGCTAATCTGTCTCTGTCGCTCGCTACTACTTCTCGGCCTTTGGAAGATGCTATTGCGTTGATCTACCAGTAAACGAGTACTCTACTGTGTATGTTGGCACATCGACTATAACGGTGTACTTACCTGTCACAATATTTATCTACTCGATTTTCGAATAGAAGTCTCGCATGCCTTCGTCCGGATACATCCGAGCAGTGGATTCTACGCACAGCCCAGGAGTGATTAGTGTGCGCAAACCTCTCGCTCGATGCCAACTAAAGTCTTCTCCACTGTCCAGCCGGTCTCTTTTCTATTCCTCCCCACCGCTACGTCAGCCCTCTGAGACAGCCGCAGCTTAGTCCCGAACTAGAGCTAACGACAATGCCAACGCCTAGAAAGGCAGATTGGGATATGTACAGATCAACTCTTAAAGAGCGCATTGAATGCTTTGACACACAGTTCCCTTGGGTCAGAGACACCAACACGCTAGACCTTGCCTCTGGGAGCTTAGGCGAGGCCATTGTCACGTCCTTTGACGAGAGCTGCCCGCTAACGGTGAGGAAGCAGGGTAAAGTGAGTTGGTGGACCACAGAGCTTACCAGCCTGAAAAAGAGAGTCAGATCTCAGTTCAGGTGGGCGAAGAGGACAAATAATTGGGATGGCTATCATAGATTGCTAACCCAATATAACATGGCTGTAAGGAGGGCCAAAAGGCTCTCCTGGAAACATTTCTGTAGCAAGCTAGAAAGTGTTAGAGATACATCTAGGATATACACTGTCCTAACAAAGGACAACTCCTCCAAGCTAGGCCCCCTCAAGGAGCCTGGGGGAGATATGCTGTATGAACCTAAGGATGTGCTAAAGCTCATGGCGGCCACCCACTTCCCTGGCTGCATCATCCCAAGCGAGCCATTGGTGCCGGAGGATGAGGAACAAGCTGTCGCAAGGGCAAACAACACTCGGTGGAGGGTTGCGTGCCACATTGTGACACACAGTCGTGTGAGATGGGCCATAGGGTCACTCATCCCATACAAATCACCTGGACCTGACGAGGTAAGACCTGTCTGTCTCCAGCAAGGTATCGATATATTACTTCCGGCAATGAGTAAGTTGTTCAGGGCCAGCTTGGCCCTGGGACACATTCCCCCGGCCTGGAGCATCTCAAGGGTGGTTTTCATCCCAAAACCTGGTAAGGCAAGTTACACGGATCCCAAGTCCTTCCGTCCCATCTCTCTGTCCTCATTCCTGTTGAAGACTTTAGAGAAACTGGTGCTGAGGTATGTGGGGGACACAGTCCTCAGAGTCAATCCCCTACATAGAAACCAGCACGCCTATACCCCAGGAAGATCCTGTGACTCTGCCCTACATCACCTGGTAAGCAGAATCGACAAGGCGTTTGAGTTCAAGGAGATTGCCCTTGGGGCGTTCCTTGACATCCAGGGCGCCTTTGACAACACTGAAACCCAGGCTGTAATCAATGCTGCCAGAGCTCGTGGATTCCATGAGGTGGTGTGCAGGTGGGTATATGAGTCTCTACTTAAGAGGAGGAAGGTAAGACTCTCTCTTCACAATGAGGTTCTGGAGGCCAGGACCACACGAGGGTGTCCACAGGGGGGTGTACTCTCTCCTCTTCTCTGGAACCTTGTTGTGGACGACTTAATTAGATCTCTCAGTGATAGTGGTGTATTCGTTCAAGGATACGCGGACGACATTGTGATACTAGTTATGGGTAAATTCAACAACACGGTCTCCGACCTCATGAACACAGCCTTGAGGTCAGTTGGACAATGGTGCACTGAGGTAGGCCTTTCTATCAACCCCTCCAAAGTGGCGGTTATCCCCTTCACGAGGAGGCGCGATCTAAATGGCATTGGACCTCTGAGACTACAAGACACAGTGCTTGAAATGCAGAATCAGGTAAAGTACCTGGGGGTGGTATTGGACCGAAAGCTGCAATGGGGGCCACAACTCCAAAAGGTCATTGATCGAGGTAAGTGGTCACTCATGGCCTGCAGACGTATGGTGGGAGGAACCTGGGGGCTCAAGCCGGCGCTCATGCACTGGCTATTTGTCTCCGTGGTAAGGCCCGCCATGACATACGGCTCACTCGTGTGGTGGCCCAAGATGGACTCAGTGTCGGCGGTGAGAGATCTGGCTGCCGTCCAAAGACTCGCCTGTCTCATCATCACGGGCGCAATGAGCAGCTGTCCGGGAGCCTCACTGGACTGCCTTCTCAACCTCACTCCGATTGATCTGCATGTCAAGGTCACTGCGAGGAGGACTGCCTACAGACTCCAGTGTGAAAACCTTTGGTTGGATGTTGGAGGATCCCGAGGTCACTCTCGGATCACTCAGCAGGTAAGAGGGGAGGTAATGGACATGCCCTCGGATCACATGCCGACTCGATTCTTCTTCGCCAGACCATTCACTGTCCTCCTTCCGTCCAGGGATGAGTGGATGTCCGGTGGGAATCCTCTTCCACAAGGCGACCTTGAATGGTATACTGATGGTTCTAAGGTAAGAAGTGGGACTGGGGCTGGAATTCATGGAGTGCAGAACGGGGTGGACATTTGTCTTCCTATGGGCACTCACCCAACTGTGTTCCAGGCCGAAATGACTGCGATTATGGTATGTGCTAGGGAAAACCTGAGGCTAGGCTTCAGGGACATCAACATTTCCATTTTCACAGACAGCCAGGCTGCGCTCAAAGCGCTTGATTCCTATGAATTTAATTCTAAGGTGGTCTGGGACTGCCTTTCTGCGGTATGTGACCTGGGCAGGCGCAACAAGGTAACGCTCTGTTGGGTTCCTGGGCACTCAGGGATAGAAGGGAATGAGGTGGCTGACAGGCTAGCAAATGTCGCGTCAGCCTCAGACTTCGTGGGACCACAGCCTTTCTGTGGAATCTCTCGTGGGCATGCATGTCACTCAGTCATGGCATGGGCTCAGGAGGAACACAGGAAAAGATGGGTTAGGCTTCAGCACCATAGGGTAAGTAAGCTCACCCTCTTCTCTCCTTCCCAGACGGTCGCCTCCAATGCCCTACGCTTGGACAGGAGGCGACTCAGACAGATCACAGGAATGGTCACTGGACATGGCTTTCTGAAATTACACCTGCATCGCTTGAGGATCCACAATGGTGACACTGCGTGTAGGAAATGTGGGCAATCAGAGGAGACTGCTGATCACCTACTCTACGACTGCACAGCTCTGAATGAGGTAAGGGACAGTACTCTTGGTGTAATGACAAGGGGCAGACACCTTCCTCAGGAGGAGCTCATTGACAGGATGCTTGAGTTCATTAAGCAACTCAGGTTTGACGGACTCTGAAGTACCATGTGGGGAGCGCAAAAAGCCCATCAGTGGCTGACGTGCAACAGGACAAGGTCCGCCCCTACAGAATCAATCAATCAATCAATCAATGCCAACGCCTATCATTGTTGCCGTCGTACCAATGTCACGTAACCGCCGCACTCGAACCATTCGGGGATTGGAAAAATTACCCCTATCAAAATTTTACTATTTCATATCTGAGATCAACAAAGAAGGGTGAGGGGAAAAGCCCAGGAACAGTTCAATATATACTTTTTTAATAATCGATAGCTAACAATTACTGTAGTTTTTTTTTCACCAGAAGCCTCCTTTGACAACAATCCAAAAGCTGAGTATTTTCGAGCAGAGTAAAAAATTAAAGTATAGCCTATAGGGGACCCCATTTTCATAAACTTTGTGAAAGAAAAGGTGTAGTTGAAACCTGAGGTCTCAATCGCTGCCTAGTACAAAATGATTTCCAACTATCTAAGACTTTGATTTAATTACAGTCTAACCTTGATATAACGAACCTCGATATAACAAATTCCTTGATATAACGAATTTTTTTAAATCCCCTAGAACTCTCCATAAGACACAATGTATATTTTACCTCTACATAACGAACAAACCACAACAAAGACATTGATTTAACAAATTTTTCGTGATTTCGGCTAAAATAAGACACCTCAATATAACGAATTTATCATTGTCAGAACCTCTACATTGCGAATTTAACCTCTGCATAACGAATTGTCTACGTATTTCCCTCGATATAACAAATCCCCCACCCAATTATTGTTTTGGGAAAATCTGTTTCTTTGTCAAATGAAATGGAAAGGTCACGTCATCGCTTGCGCTAACATTCGTCTGCTCCGTTTTACATCCTTGTCTGCTGTCGCTCCGCGCGCTATGTTGCAACTGAGAACTGATTTCATTCACCGAGGACTGATGACGACTTGATGTTTAGTAAGCTTTGATTGGGCGATGTGGGATAACTATGGTGAATTGTACAATTTTTGGATAAAGAGAAACCTAAGAAAGAATATAAAAACAAAACCTAAGAGAAAGAATAGCAACATCGTTATTTTAACATTCCTTTTACGAGTGTTTTTATTATCCTTAAGTTGGCTATGATTAAACACTTTTATAATGACTTATCTAATAATTTATTGTTTTCAATACGATTTGTTTCAACTAGCAACACCTATAGTTGATGATTATTATTGACATTCCTCTGTTGTGATAAATCAGTACTGTACTCTAAGTAGCCTACCGGCCTATCGCGAGCAGTAGCTTACAAAACTTTATACTGTTTTGTTTTGTTCTTTACATGGTTTATGACTACGCAATACAGTGTTTGGCTAGGTTTTAGGAGGGTTAGATCAAGCTGTGATTTTAAACTTACAGTTTTTAACCTGTACCAAGGACAATGCCATTGTCATGATTGCGCAATATTCAAGATCCCTCCCCTTTATTATGCCGGATAATTTAGGTTCTACTGTACAATGTAAACACTGTACTGTAAAGTATTGTAGCCTATGCTACTTTAATTGTATTTTAATGAGGTCGAATCCCGACCTATATTGACCGACGCTGGTTCTGAACCTCAACTTAGTGAAATTCCTGCAAACCTAACCTCTATATAACGAACCTCGTTTTAACGAAATCCTTGATATAACGAATATTCAGTACGGTCCCTTCAGATTCGTTATACTGAGGTTGGACTGTATAACCTTTTGTAAAGATAAAATTTACCTGCCAGTTCTCCTTTGGGTATTTCTAGAAAACCCAAATATAGCAATTATTTAAACTTAAACTATCTATTGAATTGCGTAAGACTTAGTGAAAAGGTTTTCCACAGCAATTATTGTTTACCTAACTATCCTTTTTCCTACCATTCTGTACAGTCAGCAAAATAGTTCTGATCTATACAATTATTTAAGATTCATACTCTTTTTAATCTAACACCACCTGTAGATGTGTAATGAAAACTTATTTGAAACTAATTTACGTGAGTATATAAATATTTTAAATTGAAAAATACATCACATTAACAAACAGCAAACAATATATTGCTTTATTATTTTAACTGTAATAATTATTTTACAATTTTTATTGTAATGTAATTGTATATCTTTTTATTGACACCATTAATTGTACCACCTCAGGATAAAAATATGAATAAAGAGTATGAATATCATGAAATAATTCAAATTATATTTAGAACCTTAATTGTATAATAAAGAGATATGACACGATCTAAGTTGGGTTTGTTGCAGAACACAAAAATAAGGATTAACCTGTATTTTTTTTTGGGGGGGGGGAGTATCAGTTGTTTTCCTTCTGCTAAAGGATTGACTCGTTAAGCAAAAAACTTGTAGAATTATAATTATATAGTTGGAGCACTTTAATTAGCAACAAATTTTATAAAAAAACATACCATCTCACAAACTTTTGACATTAAAGTGGCTTGCACTTATATTGTCAGTTTTGTTAAGTCATCAATGAATATGATACAACAAATATTTTTTAGGAGTCTATGGTTCTTGATCAGTTAGAAAGTTCAATATATTAGCTTTTAGACTATCTATTCATGATTGTTGGTTTCTGGTATTTGAAATTATGTTGTACAGGTAACATACCTGACTGTGGTCTTGATCTAATGAAAAGTTTAACATTTGCTCTAGACTATTTATCAGTAATCACTTTTTCTGTTATTTAAAATGTTCTAAAAAAAACTTTGCTTGCAGGTTGCCTCCATTCATAGTTGAATACCCCAACCTCCAAGTATTGCGCATAGCAAACAACCCATTCAAGGACATTCCGCTTCACTACACCAAGGCGGACACACTCAGACTTCTAACTTTTTTAAGGGAGAGAGCCACTCTAGAAGCAGAACCTCCATCCTCAGAAGAGGATCAGCAACCAGTAGCTGTTCATGAAGCTCCACCCTCTAGATTCTCCTTGTAAGCAGCTTTATACATTTATGCTTGCCTCTGGTGCATACCTCTGGGCTTAACGCAAGTTAAGAACAGCACAATACATGTTGAGCACCAATTATTGGATAAAGGGTTTTTTATCTAAAATTCATTAAAACCGCTTTATCTGCAATTTATTACTTTGTGCCATTTTTTTTTTTTTTTTTTTGGGTGGGGGGAGGTTTGGGGTGATTTTGACCCCAGCTACTGTGACCTGTTGATACCATCCCTCTGCTTAGTCTGACAGCCCTTGGGTAGAACGCTCATTCCTCTTATCTCATCAAGCTTAATCAGCGCCCTTCCAAGAGATATCATCCTAATTGGGCCCAGGGTTGAACCGCCCTGCCACAAGTTTTTGAGGATTTGCCTCATTTTCACCGAATCTACTTGAGCCTGTCTCACAATGGTTCTTAGGAGTGTCCTTATTGAACCGTGCCCAGTTACCAGTCCGACGTAAGTCATATTAGTTTAGCCGGATTTTTCTGCTGGTTGTAAGGTGCAAAAAAGTAAAACTTATAGAAATTTACCGGCAAGTGTATGAAGTACCCAAAACCAATATAATGAATGAAATTCTTGCGTAGGCTTTCGCGGACAGTGTCATGAGAGTTATTGGTGGTGTTTTTCGGCGCCAACCACGTCGTCACTAATACAGTGTTGCCAGATGTTTCGCCCTTTGAAGGAGGTATGGTCAAGTCTCGAAATTTCGGGAAATTCTAAATCTCGTTATAAGAGACAATATTTCTTTTTGATCGAGATTTTCTAAAAAAAAAAAATTAAAACACCTGCAGAAAGTCAATGCAATACTGGCAATACAGGAACGTGTTGTAGTTGTGTTTCCTTTGCGAAGGCATTCTTATTTAATTAATTATTTACATGTAGATATTACTTTAATTATTTTATCATTTGAGAAGTTTTGTTGAGTGTGAGCAGCGTGAGGCATGTTTTACTACTATAAACAAAAAATCCAAAACAAGTAACTATTTTATACAAACTAATATTGCTTTTATTTTATAATTTATTTTATTTTAGGATGAGTTTAACTCTATCCTAACTGCTATCACCATGTTTCCTAACCGTAAGCATTTTTAATAAGTTAGGCGTAATTTATTTACATTTTATTATGCTGATGTTTTTTTAATAAAAGTTTTTAAATATTCTTGCCTATTATTATTATCTTAGAATTTAAACAGTCATCTAACAATGCTACAAAATAATAAAAAAAATGTCAAACGTGCATTTCCCGTTGTGTATGAGAAGGGAAATCCCGTCTCGATCCTGTCTCGAAATTTTATGAGAAATAAAAAATCTAGTCTCGAACCAAAAATCCAATCTCGTCCATCCCTACTTTGAATTGGCCTCCTCAGTGGCTGAGACAAAACCAGATAAGTTTAGTTTGTCCAGGTATATTTATTGCTGCGGTGAGGTAATCGGCGTGTGTGTGGAATGCAGGAAGGCATACTCCCCCCGCTCTGGCTGTTTCTAGTAAACTAGCTTACGTAATTTCGGCTGTCATGGCTTTGGAAGCTTGTAGCTGTCATCTTTATCAAAACAGTCACGGTTCCACAGTCAGGGCAGCCTATATTACACAAGCTTGTTTACTAGAAACAGCCAGAGCGTAATGAATGAAAATTCTCCCCGAAACGATGCATTCAATTAAAAAATTGTTGAAATAACATTAATGACAGAAGAGAAAGGTGGACACATAAGCTTTGTCGCTGATGAACTGTTTGCTAAAATTGATGTGAAAGATTTGTGAAAACTCCAATTTCACTATAACGGAGCTTTCACTTTGTTTCCTACAGGTTTCAAGGACTTTGTTGTTGAAATTGTCACACAAAAGCTAGGCTACCGTACATTTTTTGCACGATGGGTACTGAAAATTATTAAAGACAGGTTTGGCAATTTTGGAAATGTCAAATTGCAAATTGCATAGCTTCAAATAAAGGATGTTGGAGATCTAATTCAAGGACAGCCCTCATACACAACATTTTTGCCACCCACATCGTAATTTAAAGTTATAGAATTTTTTTTCCTTGACCAACAATCTTTGTTTGCAGAGGTCAGTTACGAAGATGTGGAAGTGTTGTACACACCAGTCCTGATGAACCAGTTCCCGACACTGTGTGGGAAAATGCAGTCACTGCAAGAGTGGTCATTGTCAATCTATCTCACTGCAAACAACGTCTACCAACACGGTAGTTAACTTACCTAAGTATAGGCTAGGTATTAAGTATTGTCTAGGTATAATACAGTAGAGACTCGTTCATCTGCTCTTCAGCTATCCTACTATTTAAGTTATCTAACCCTCCCTGTTGGATGATCAAGTACCATACCATGAATGAGGTTAATATTGTGCGGGCTATTTGAGTTTTCAAGGATAACACCACTACTAAGATTTGGTTCTAGATTGACCAAATTTAACTACTTTAGGGTAGGAAAATTCAAGGTATTTTAAAAATCTACAAATTATTGATCATCTCGCTTGAGTAACCCTTGTAGCATTGTTATCGCATCGTTTTGCTTGTATTTTATTATTGTCAGTCTATAAAACTAGTGTCACATTGCAACAGTATTATTATTCCAACAGTATTATTCCAACAGTATTTAATCACCTCGCAATACAGTATTACAGACTTGTCTGAAACACTGATGGAACTTCACCTTGTGGACACTGGGATGAAGGAACTTCCACCTCTGGTTGGAGAACTTAAAGAACTTCAAGTTTTAATCCTTGATCAGAACTTACTCTCAAGCCTCTGTCCCGAGCTGACCAAGTGCAAATACCTGAAGGAACTTTCTCTGGCATGTAACAGGTTAGTACCAACAGATGTGAAATTTTTATTAGGCTTATGAAACTATAGTCCTTTCACAAGATTTAAGGGGTTTGAACTTCCCCCACTAATTTTTTGCTTAGTATATATGTAGCAGCTGATTGACGTCTCAGCTGTTGAACTATTATTATTATTTTAAAAATAAGATCAAGTGGAGGGGATGGATTTCTCCCCCCCCCCCCCTAAGTATAGGTCTTTACAGACAGAAAATGTTAAACATATGTGGTCAAGTGACCCGTATTAAAACTTGAAAATGTAATGGTAAAAAGAAAACACAATTTGCAGGAACATTTTCCCTTTGTTTCAACGCCAAATTAAATTCTCAATCCAAGTTATCACTCCTTCACCTTGTGGTGTGTCGTCTTGTTGATCCATCTGGTCATGTGTGAGTTCCAAGCCCATAGCCATATGACTGATTCAAGACCTGTCCCCTCTTGTATCTTCTGCAGATAAATATCACGTGGAATGCTGTCTCCTCCTCCTCTCCACATTTCCTACATAAGAGGCTTTCAACTTGAATTCCCATCTTGTGTAAATGTCCACGGACTACCCAATGGCCACTAAAAAAGCCAACCACCTTCCGCAGGGTCTTCCTACTCAGCCCAAGGGCATCTGCCGCTATCACACCTGTAGGTGCCTTCAGCATTCTCTTTAACTGTACATTTCCTTCTGTTCTTTTCCAGTTCCTTCGATGTTCTATGCCCATCCACTGGCGAACAGCTCTCCGTGTTGTGCTGTAAGCAATGCCACACGTCGGCTCTGGACCCATGAGCGGGCTTCCAGCTCCTTTGTTTGCCCACTTGTCAGCTCCCTCATTGCCAGCAATACCTTTGTGCCTTGGAACCCAACTAAGGATGATCCTGTTGTTCTTTCCCAGGGCTTCATGGCTTGATGACAGTCCCATACAGCCTTGGAGGTAAAGTCAAAACTGTCAAGTGCCAATAGTGCTGCTTTGCTGTCTGAGTTCATGTATACAGTGTGGCCTATAAGACCGCGCTTCAAACACACACTCGCACACTCAGACAGGGCAACAACTTCTGCCTGGAATACAGTGGCCATTTTTCCCAGGCTTACTCAGAACTGCGCCTTTGGGTCTGACTCCATATATTCCAACCCACTTGCCCGTTGGCTTTTTCGAGCCATTCGTATACCAAGTGATCCCCCTTTTCATGTATTCAGGTTAACCCTTGTCCCAGGCATCCCTGTCAACAATGTTGACATTGTATGGTTTTTCTAGATCTGTGATCTTCACCATCCTGTCTGGTAGCATTTCCAAGGTGTTCATCTGCACCTTGTCTACAATTCTTGTGTGCTCACTGGAGGCATTATACTTCCAGTTTCCACTGCAAGCCATTCTGTAGGCTGCCATCCTTGCCTCTCCTTTCACAATGATGTCGAGAGGTGGTAGGTTTAGCACTACTTCCAGGGCTGCAGTTGGAGTGCCTCTCATGGCTCCTGTGATGCTAAGGCATGCCACTCGGTGGATCTTTTGTAGTCTCTTTACAGCGGTAGTTTGCATTACCTTGGTCCACTAGACCACTGAGCCATACACCATCATCGGTCTTGCAACCCTAGTGTATAGCCAGTTAGTCATTTGTGTGCTTACACCCTAGGTCTTCCCAACAGCCCTGTCTCATCATCATAAGTGTGGTCTGAGAGCGTTGCGTTATATGTGCCAAATGGCTGTTCCAGGTGAGCTTGTCGTCCAGCCTTATTCCTAGGTACTTGAACTCCCTCTTAACCTGGATCTGATTACAGAAGAGAGTTGGTACTCTAGCGATATCAACATTTCTCTTCCTTGCAAATGGTACCATTACAGTCTTCATTGGATTGACCCTCAGACCTTCCTGGTTACACCATCTCTCCACTATGGACAATGCCCTCAGCATGAGTTCCAGGCAAGTGTTCATAAATTTTCCTCTTATTAGTACAACAATATCGTCAGCATATCCTTGAGCGTACATGCCCTGTGCATTGAGCTCGGACAGGAGATCGTCGACCACCAGGTTCCACAGATTTGGTGACAAGACGCCACCCTGTGGACACCCTCTTTGGGCCTTGACCTCTCTCACCGCCCCACACAGAGAAGCTTGCGCTCTCCTACTTTCGAGCATGTTGCCTATCCACCTCACTTCAGTGCTTTCCACATTTCTTGACACCAGCTTTGATACAATAGAGTGAGTACTAGTGTTGTCAAAAGCTCCTTCTATATCAAGAATGAAGAAATGCAGCCACCGCTATTTCCTTATTCGAGATAGCACTTTCAATCTTGGTAACCAGCGCATGCAGGGCTGTTTCGCATGACTTTCCCTTCTGATAGGCATGTTGGTTCGGATGCAAAGGACGGCTTACCAGGACCCTATCCTTTATTCGTCTATCCACTAATTTCTCCATGGTCTTCAGGAGAAACGATGTAAGGCTGATTGGTCTGAAAGCCTTGGGCACAGCATATGTGTCCCTTCCAGGCTTCGGTATGAATACCACCCTTGAGGTCCTCCATGCTGTTGGTATAACTCCACTGGCTAAGCTGGTCTTGAAAAGACGCACGAAGGGGAGTATCAACTGGTCCTCACCTTCCTGCAAAAACCCAGGATAGATGCCATCGGTACCAGGAGCTTTAAATGGTTGAAATGCCCTAAGAGCCCATTTAATACCGTTAAAGGTTATCACAGCCCTAGCGCAAGCCCAATCTTCCCTTGCCGTCCGCACCCTAGTCTCTCTTTCTATCTCCTCCTGGACTGTGCTCTGCGGTTGCAAGGATCCTGGGAAGTGAGCGCTCAAAAGGCTCTCCAGCACTTCTTCTGAGCCGTCTGTATATGTGCTATCCTCCTTAAGCATTGTTCCTAAAGGATTAGCCTGACCTCGAGCTAGTACTCTATGAAGCTTTGCACATTCAGAAACACTCTCCATGTTCTGACAGAATTCTCTCCATGACTCTTTCTTAGCTCTTCTAATTGTCCTATTGTAAACAGTGAGCATCTTTGAGTAGTTGTTCCAATTTCCTGTACGCTTTGCTACATTATACAGTCTGCAAACCTTCCTCCTCAGAGCTTCTGACCCACTATTCCACCAGCAGGCTTGCCTGCACATGTTCTTTACAGTCTCCGGGCACGCTTCTTGGTATGAGCTTAGTATGGCCGCATTTAGAGAATTCGCCATACTCTCCACCCCATGCCCTTCTGTGTGTTTTAATTGTCTTAGTCTTGCGGGGTCTAGACTGGAATAAACCCAGCCAGATCCACACTTAATGAAAAATGTGCCGATTCCACTTCCCCACAGCAGTCACGAAAACCCTGCTCAGCATAAGCCAGCTTTGATAGGTCTCAAATAAATAGATTAACTACATTTTATTCAATTCTAACTACTCCTCGCCATTGTGACACGCCTGCAGCAACTTGCCCTAAACATGATATCGATAATTGTAAAGTTTAATTTAGTTACGTCAGTTAGTTTATTGTTGGTTGATCTTGGTCTAATTTAGAAAAGATATGATACCCCCTTTATCCCCCAAAAGATTAATTAACTAATTAGCCATTACGGGTACTTTACCAACTGTAGAGTAGACCAAGGAGTCCTTCCCCGTGTGCAGCCGAACCAAGACAAACCTGGTTGCCGTCGGTTGGTCCTTTCCGGCCGGAGCGCTAGTATCGGTCCGACTAGAGCTGTCTGCTTGCCTTTGGATCAGCTGATGGGGTTGACTCTTACCTTATTATATAATTGTTGGCGGTGATGTGGGTTATTCCCACAGCTCTCCCCCGCTCCCCAAAAAAAGGAGCTGGAGCTAGGATGCTGGACCTGGAACTTCTGGTTAAAAGGGGCAAGAAAATAGTGTTTGGGGTTTTGGTAGGCAAGATTGCTGCTTGGGCCACACTGGACTGCACTGGACTGCAGTTCCAGTGGTGGTAATATACTTAGGTGGCGGGGTCATACAATGTATTAATAAATAAACAAATAGGATAGTAATCCATAAACAAGTAAATAAATATTAATAACAAATAACAATGAATAAATAGTTTGAACTATAACAATGCGATGAAACATATATCTTAAACATATATCTATGATCCTGTAGGGCGCTTTTATGCAGGTTCGCTGCCCTAAGGTTGGCATGTTGGTCACAGAACTAACTTAATCTACTTAAAACTACCGGTTTGAATATGAGAGATGTGTTTGTGTAAGGATTGGTGTGTTAGTGTTGATGAACGTGTATCCTCAAACTATTTCGAAGTAGGTTGAGGGGAACAATCCGCTCTTCCCCACGATCATTAGCCCCTGAACTGCGCTAAAAGATGAAAAAAGTTTAAAAAAAGCTAGGCACAGTTCACGGTCTAAAAAAAATAAAATAATTTTAAATATGCGCAAAAAATGAATTTACTCTAAAACCAATGACGTGGAGGAGAGCTGCAGCTCAGGTTGTAATGGGCGATCGCTAAACCCTGCCGCCTTCTGAAGGTTATTGTGTGTTTGACTATTCTATTCCAAAATGAGATTTTTATCTTTTGTCAAGCAAAGTCAACTTATTGAACAAAGACTTAGTAGTATCGACAAGCAAGTTACAACATTAAGTACTGTTCAAGCCCTTGAATCTTTAAATGATCAACAAATAAATAGAATAAAGTTACTTTCAACTGCAGCTTCTCAAAAACATGCAGAATTTGAAAAAATTGTTAATAAGTTGTTCTCTACAACTCCCCTACCTGAAGACATCGTAGATGAAAAGGTAACCGAACTTCAAGATAAAATATCTGACCTGTACATAAATATTAGTAGCTTATGTAGCACATTAATACCTACACCTGCAGTATCTGAGCAATTGAATCAGTCCACCGCTAGTTCAACAGCACAAGCTGTGGCTGTACCTCCGACAATAAAATTGCCTTCATTGGATTTAGGTAAATTCTCTGGTCAACCAGACCAGTGGATGTCGTTTCATAGCATATTTGAAAATGCAGTTCATACTAATGAGTCACTCAGTAACATAG